AAAACACTTAATTGATTGTCAAAATTGTTGCAGGTTAATTTTCTGTCGATCAACTAATCAATTAATCGACTAATCGTTGCAGATCTAATTTTCTGTATGTGATGATTTGATGGAACTCAGCTTTAAGAAAAAGGCACAAACTTCAAGACTATGTAACAATTGGGGACCCAGTTGATAATCCCTAACAAAAAACAAAAAAACTAAACAAAATAGAAGCCTGGGGGGTTTAGGCACCAACCATGAACTGCAATGTCCCTGGTTCGCATCCAGCTGAGAACCTTTGTTCCATGACATCCCCTCTTTATTTCTCCCTTCATTTCTCTCAGTCTCTCTCTACTGTTGGCTATCAAATAAAGGTAAACTGCTCAAAAAGAAAACTTCAACTGACACAGGGTCTTGGGGTCTGGAAGTTTGGATAGTCTCTGGGTCATTTGCCCATTTGGTAATCCAGCGTTGTGCCTCTGTCTGTTTGTCTGTCTGTGGGTCTGTATGCCAGCTTGCCTGCGACTCATGTTGGTCTTAATGAGCCATCTCATTCAAACATTGGATGATTTGAACTGCTTTGACAAACAGGATCCTCCTGGAGTGTGAAGTGGCTGCTGTGGCCCATTGTGGCCGAGCTATGTGCGGTGCTGGAGGGGCACACAGGATGGAGCTCAGCAGTGGGCTTGTCCTGGGCCTCAAGCCTGTGGGCCGGAAGAACGGGACTGTGGTTCACTGCCATTCTGAATGGGCCCTGAGAGTCCAGTGTGATGGACAGTCTAGGACTGCACACACTGGCTCTTTGTATCAGGGTTTCTTGGACTCTCTCTCTGTCTCTATTTTTTTTTTTCTGTCTCTCTCACACAATGTTACACACACACACACACACACACACACACACACACACACACACACACACACACATACATACACATACACATACACATACACATACACTTTTTCTCACACAAGTGTCTTTTTTTCCCTCTCTCCTCGTGATCCCGATGTGGCAAATCTATCCTCTGCTGTAAGGCCTGACATTGTCATTACAAACAGTTGCTAACTTGTCTGTGTTTCACTCTCTCACTCTATTTTTCATTCTGTCTTTCCTCCTCTCATTCATGTACTGTAGCATCGGAGAGTGTTGAAGTGGTTGGAGGTTTAACCAGGAGTATTAGTAAGGGACTTGGGTGCATGTGAAAGTCATCAGAGGGAAAAATGTTCAACGTGATTTTCATTTATGGTGCTCCACTCAGAGCAAGCCAGCAGGATCCATTTAGTACAAGCTTGTTGTTTAAAGAGTCACCAGCTCCTACTGTTATTCCCTGTGGAGGAGGATGATTTGAGCTCAAGTCTGCCCTGCAATATCCTGTGTACACTATGAAATCCCACTCAGTACAATCAGAGAAAACAGTCTGTACTTTCTGTGCGGTAGGTTTACTGATGCTGGCGGTCTATTGTATAAGTCAAATATACATTACACCATCCTCTGTGAAATGTAGTGTTATCCATCAGTCTATCAATCTACTTGCAGAATCCTCTTTGAACTAGACGTTGTCATTTAAATAAATTCAGCAAGTTCTGTTTAACTAGGAAAGAAATGGTGGCTTACGAGGGATAAGGAATGTTTCATTTGCTTAGTTACGAAGTGTTAGATGACACTTAGATTGTTACCATGTTGTCACCGTGACGTTTCCACACATAAACCCCATAAAACCCTTAAAAATGTAATTATTTTTACACATTACATATTTTGTAGGAATTATACAAGCAAGTCCTGTATTTAACAAATAAATAAAAGACTGGTATTGATCACTTTCATACAACTCAGCAATAAAGTGAATAAGTGAATTTCCCAAAATGTCAAATTACCCCCCCTAACCCAACACCCAGCAGCCTCATAAAAAAGACGGAAACAAAAAACAAACCTTGTGTCAGCTGATTCTGACACGCATAGCCTTCTATAGATTCCATGATAAATATGCTCGTAATATCTCACAGACCCTGTGATTACTTCAAAATCCCACCTCTGCTTTGAATCCATCGACTGAATGGAAGTGATTTTACTCCGGCAGACTACTGTCCCCATGGTACTTTGTGCAGGACTGCTTAAAAGTGCTGTTGGGCTTTGATGTCCTCTCTCTCTCCCCTGATGTCTAATACCAAGACTAAAACTTTCACAGAGCTCCTTTGTGAACAGAGTAGTATTCCAGAGGTTACTAATAGTCCTGTCCCTGTGCCAGTGTTTTTTCAGTCAGCCAGAACAGAGTTATACTAACCTGCCAACATGTCCAGTTCAGCTGTGTAAATACCACCTCGGATTTATTGTGTTATTAAGCATAACAACCAGTAAGTGACACAAAGTTTCTCCACTGAGAGAAAGATGTATAACCAGTATTCTCAGTGTGGAGGGATAGATGCTTTAAAGGCAAACCACTCCTGTGGAATGGACACTAATCAAACAGATGGCTTATTGATTGGATTGGTGGCTTTCAAACATAATGTACGTTTTTTTTCTCTCTCTAAGTGCTCCAAGTTAGACAAGCATGGCGGATGCTGACATGTCAATCTGACCTTCTCCATGACAGGCTCCAGGGGAGGTTGGTTACATAGTCAATGTGACCTTTTTTAAAGAATGCCCCCCGAAACTGTTCTTATAGCTTTAAACATCCCTATCTGTTTTCCTTTTGTTCACTCTCACCTCGAGTGAAATTCAGGCAATCGAGTCAGACTGTCATGATGATATCATGGCATCTAGCACACTGCTATCAGCTTTTAGACAGCTGGACTAATGGGAATAGTGACGCATTTCAAGGCAGGGTTTGAAACCAAACAGACTTGACGAGTTGGGCAGTCATGCTGATTTCCATGTCACATTTGATTTCAATCAAATTATTTCATAACAAACCAGTGCGTCTGTTGTTACTGCCTCTGTCACTCATGCACATTTAATAGGAGAACTTTGGTAATGGAGATAAACACTAACCACACTTCTCACGTGGAACCATTTCTTCTCTTCAGGAGATTGATATCAAATATATGGTCTGCTACTGGATCATAAGTACCTAAAAGTGACATCCACTACAAGAGCAGCTCTTCCTTTAAATGGACTGTATTTACTTTGCAGCTGGACTCAATATCCTGTGGAGCTCTGTGCTCTGACTTCCAGCAGCCCACTCATCCTCCCTGACATGCTCATCAGAGAAATGTGGGCTGCGGTAGAAGTTAGCAACTCTGCTGTGGGCACACTCATTGAGTTGTGGTTAACATGCTGCCATGGCAACTCCTATTCAACCACCATGGGACAAAAATGTTTTTATCTCCCTGTACTACACAAACAGTCAGGATGAAGCGTCTGACTGCAAGTATTGGCCCAACAGCAGTATATCTGTTTTAATTTCCTCTGTCACGACAAAGAGCACAAACACAGATGAACTTTCAGGATTCTCGCCTCATGGAAGAGGCAAGTGAGTAGAAAAGAATCTTTGGGCTGATTTCTTCAAGAAAAAAACTTTTGTGTTGAACTAAGATAAGCCTTAAAAAGCTTTTTTTTTTCTTTTTTTTTTTTAAATGTTCCTGCTACCTACCAGAAAGAGCAGAACCTTTTGAATGTAAGAGATTAGGGGCAAAAATATATAGTATATTAACCTAAATAGCTTCAAATGGTATCTATCTTCTGGTATCTGCTGTTGATATGGAACAGAAAGTGCAGATTTTAATAGAAACCTTTGTCTAATAATTTATTATTATAAATGTATTGTCTTGTTCCTATTACATAGGCGGTGCTTGGGTAATGGTTTTAATGAATTCCATTTGCATGATCTGTTCTGTGAAATGTGGAGCAGTTCTTATAAACAAAATAAATCATCTTCATTTGCTACAGGACTTCTTGAACCTGCAATCATTGATGTTTTAGCCACTTGGGAGCAGTGCACATAGCTGATATGGCGAACTTGTTGTTATTTATATATCCAGCAGATGCAGAGCTACATTAACATTCATTTGGTGATATGCTTGTGTGCACCTGATGTAACGATCTAATGTAAACATTGATTATAGCAGCTCTAAGTACTTTAGTTGCAGTGTGACATCAGACATATGTGGGAGTTTTAAAAGCAGCCATTGACCTGCATGTCCTATGACTCTGCAACATCCTGTCAGAGACATGTGGATCCGATTGGAAGCACACTGTGGTTTGTTTGCATGCATCCACAGACGGTGCATTGTGGTGACTAGCTCCGTTTCACAAAGCATAAGAACACAATGCGTGAGGCAGATCCATCTAGGTCACTTCATTCCCTCATTGTGAGTTGCCATTGATTTCCATTACAGCTTGGCAGACACCCATTGCTCTGACCTGCTGGATGGTCATTAGTGTCCTTTTAAGTGTAGTGATGAATTGTCAGATGACACATTAAAGGAAGTAAAGACTGTAAAACCTCAGTTTCACGCAGCAAACTGTACTGTTTCTGCTGGTTCTTTACATCACAGAAGTCTCAAAAGGAAGCATGCAGCATCAAGCGTGACCACAGACAAATTTATTGCAATTTATTTTGAACAGACTTGTCTGCTCTGTCTTTGCAGAGGATGAGTTTGTTCTGTTAATCTCAAAGTCAAAAGTCAGTCTGGTGTTCTTTAACGAGTCCTGATGAGTGACAAAACGGCATGTGTTTTTTTTTTTGTTAGAAATGTATTTATAAGGCCCCAAGATAGATTTGTCCAGGCTCAATTGATGAATGGATGATCCATACGACTATTCATTGCATAATTAATTCCCCTGAGCTCACTTCCTGTCTTGCAAGTGAAAACAATTCCTTATATGGGATTGGGGGCTGATGTTGACATAGAATAAACATTTTGAGATAGCCACCACTGTGATAATTTATTACATATTGCGTACATGCTGTTATTACATAATGTGTTGTTACAGGCCTTTTAATTAAAAATATTCGGAATAAAACATTGTGGTATGTGTCGACACTTCATACTGACACAGTGTTTCTGTGTTTGTTCTGCAGGTTGCTTTGAGTGCTGCATCAAATGTTTAGGCGGGGTGCCATATGCGTCACTGGTGGCTACAATCCTCTGCTTCTCTGGCGTTGCCCTGTTCTGTGGATGTGGCCATGTGGCTCTCACTGGCACCGTGACCATCTTGGAAACCCACTTCTCCAAGGTTGCCAGTGATCATGCCATGCTGACTGATGTGTAAGTGACCTCATGGTATATGTATGTACTACATGGCTGCTAATAATGCTTAAGAGTGTCTGAGAAACAAATAAAACTAACAATTACAACATCAGTTTGTGATTGTTAGTTTGTAACTTTTAAAATATTGTGTCTTAAATGTCACTGAAGGATCCATTACGCAACATGCTGACGATTAAAATGTGTTCTTACATAACCACAAAGAGAGGCCTAAATGTAAGATAGATAACACTTGTAATGAGGTGGATTTTATGTAGGCTATTTTTAGCTGATATTGTCTCCCACCTTCACTTTGTCCTGGAGAACAGTCCTAATATGGACATTTTTTTTAATAGTACATCCATTAGTCTGGACAATAAAAGACAGGACTGCACATATGTTTTATGTTGCCTTAGATTTGGAGTGCTGTTTAATTTAAGTTGTCAATGGAGGCAGCCTGTCTCTTGGCAGACGCTTCCCAGAGACGTGCATCACCTGTTATCTCCACATTTGGGCTTAGCATCTCTCTTCATCAGTGTCTTAGGGAAGCTGGACTACTATCTGAATCATAACCATCTGTTCATGATTACTCACGTTTTTCACATCCAAAAAATTACAAATGATTGTAAGCAGCTATTTTCCACACCAGACAGTGCTACGTCATGCTCTTATTTCACCCGACATTTTTAGTGGGTCTCTCCAGTTGTTAAGTTTGGAGGCTTAAAACATGTTATTCATTGATTTGTGTGTACTCTGTTATTTTAACCTATTGCAGCTTTACCAGCACGACTAAAGCTTATGTGTGACATTGCTCTTTAACAGAATACAGCTGATGCAGTATGTCATCTATGGCATTGCTTCATTTTTCTTCCTGTATGGGATCATTCTGCTGGCTGAGGGCTTCTACACGACCAGCGCAGTCAAGGAACTGCACAGCGAGTTCAAGACCACCATATGTGGACGCTGCATCAGTGGAATGGTATGTTGAAACAACCACGTTGCTGTGTCGAACCTGATTCTTAAACACACCAGTATTTTAAAAAGGTTTCCCGATGTTCATTATTGGAATACGAGTTACACGGCGATCTGATGATGCTAACATTATTTCATTTCTGTGTCCTCAGTTTGTGTTCCTCACATACATCCTGGGTGTGGCCTGGCTTGGTGTGTTTGGCTTCTCCGCTGTGCCAGTCTTCCTCTTTTACAACATGTGGTCTACCTGTGCCACCATGAGGTCACCCATGGCCAACCTCACCAACATTGACTCCATCTGTGTGGATGTTCGTCAGTATGGTAAGAGAATAGCGCTCTTCCAAGGAACGTTTTTATTAATTCACACACTGTGGTGGCTTCCAATACAATATTCAAAATTAGCGGGTCCCAACATTTTTTTGCTTGTAACCCCTTGAAAACCAAGCAGTCTACTTGTAAGCCCCCTGTTGCATTTCTTCTCACTGGGACCACTTCAAACAAATATCCAGTAATTCACAAGAAAAAAAGCAAAGTTAAGAAGAAATTCTAAAAAACAACATGATTTTCCATGGCAAAAATTTTATTTTCTGCTTTTTCAATCTTTATTCATCTAGGTTGAGAACCTTTATTCAAAATAATAAATGATAATGCATCTTTCCTTGACTGACATGCCCTGGATTTTCCTCACACCTAGTTTGTAATGCATACTTTCCATTTAAATTTGAACATCATCTGTTATGTTATTCCCTCAGACCTGACAAAGCTCCTCCAGAACCACAGTAGATGCTATATAACTGTTATACCTGGCTTAGGAGTTACCTGAGCTTCATTTGTAAAATCGGTGGAGTGCTCCTTTAAATCTTGAAGCATAAATCCAAATTATTTTGTACTGAGTGGACATTATTCACATATTAAAATGAATCTGAGTGAGTGTGTATGAAAACCTTTTCATTTTCATGGCTACAGGAATTATCCCATGGAACGCCACACCAGGCAAGGCCTGTGGATCTACGCTAGGTGACATCTGCAACACCAGCGAGGTAAGAGGTTGTCTTCGATCCACACACATTCATAAAAATGCCATGCACACATCAGCAGAGGTGGAGCAGAGGAGCTGAAGAGTAATCAGCGTTGCTTGTCTATTTCCAGTTCTACCTGTCTTATCACCTGTACATCGTAGCGTGCGCCGGGGCTGGAGCCACTGTGATCGCTCTGGTAAGCTTCCCTCCAGTCTCTCCATCCTTTCCCTTTAGTCCATCTTTGCACGGTTTGTATCAGCAGATCATGTGTCAAGTGCTCCTCTTCTCATTCCCCTATGGTTTATGTAACTGCACCAAGGAAGATTACTCATAGGCTTTTCCTCAGCTCCAGTTCCATTTGCTGTTTACCATCTGCTTAGATGCACATGGCCCTGTTTTCTATTTTAGGATGGGTAGAAAGGAGTGTAGTTTGAGCTTGCTTTTTGTTTGTCGTATTTTCTAAATATCTTAATCATGAGTTTTGAACCATAAAATCACAAGTAGGGTATTGTAAAATTATACTTCAACATTTTTTCCTTTTTTTAACTCTTTGAAAAATGATTGGTCACTTTACTAACTTGTCATAGTGACGAGGAGGTCACGGCATGTACTCTTACAACCTTTTCTGTTCTCTTCCACCAGCTGATCTACATGATGGCTACCACTTATAATTTTGCTGTTTTGAAGTTTAAGAGTCGAGAAGACTGCTGCACTAAGTTTTAAACTGTTTTTAAGAACAAGCACAGCATTTGAGGCTGTACTGAGTAGAGACAGTTGCCACTGACAACAAAAGAACTAAAAAAACAAACAAAAAAACTACAACCTGAGAATAGAAAATATCAACATCTCTCGATTAGTGTAAATAGCTGATTGTATGCTTCCTTTAGCATTTGGTATCCAGGGATATTGCTTGTCTGATGACACCTGATGGAAGTTGTCTTCAGATTGGGGTGGTGTTTAGTTGACTGGTTTGTTCTGCTTTTTCTTGGCACTCACTTTGAAATTTATCACCATCAGATTTTATAGAAAATGTGCACAGCTAGAAATCCACAACAGTGTTATTTATATTCATAATATGTGAAGCTGATTCTGACCTGCACAAAAGCATCAACTGCATAAGTATTTCAGAAAAAAAAAAATCTACAGTATTATGTATGCAGTTCCTCACACTTGCATAACAGGACGAGCCTCCAGTGACTGCAGTCGGAGCTGAAATGCAAATTTAATAAAATTAACTAAATTGGAAACGAGAGCCTTCTTAGGTCGGATAAAGACACACACTCTGCACCAAGCCCATGTAGATGTACATTATAAAGCTCTGAAATGAGTCCATGTGGACATCTGATGACAAATATTAAAGGTGTTCTCAGGCTTTATATTTTTGATTGCCAGATTAGCAGTTTTGGTGAGGATGATTTCTAGTGACACATTTGTAAAAAAGGACTAGCTACAGTGGCCAAGTGCCTTGTCCTTTTATATTTCTTTGGTTGCTTTCCTTAGCCGTAAAATTGTGGCACCCACCCATGAAACCACAAAGTGTTACACAGAAAATATTCAGTATTATTTCTTTTTGTCTCAAGTTAGATTCTAAACTAAACTAAAAAAAACCTTTCATCAACTGTATAATGCAGAGGAGTATTACGGTGACCAATTGTGTTTGTTGTAGATTTCAAAGTAACTACACATACCTAGCACAGCACGCTATGAAGGGTTAGGCCAGTACCAGGGGTATACTTCTGCATGAGGCCCTAAGCCTCACTTTAATTTCATGTATTTTATAAAAAATAAAAAAAATCTTCTATTTTAGAGTAGAGTAAATGTATTTTTTTTCTATGAGAGCTGACGCTGGTATAGCCTCAGCTATGAAGTTGATGTTTTGTTTCATACATTTTCCTCTATTCTTTCTCAAAGTGCCATTAAAGAGCCATTTGTTTTTATCTTAACACTGAGCCTGCATGCTTACATTTTTCAGATTCTTTGATCTGTTTATAGTTACTTATACTCCATATTTCATATATTTAATTTTCTCTTAAGTTTTTCAAGACTGTAGCTTTTACTTTCTATATAAAAATAAACAATCTTTGTTTACAAAAGTATCCCTACTTGGTCTATTTCTTATTTAAATCCTACAGCGATATAATACAGAACTGCATATGGAACAGGGTCAGATTCACAAAATACTAAATCATGCTTTGCACTAACCTCAAGCTTTTACAGTTGCATAAAACTCGGCATGCACAACCTCCGGCTCTCTCTTCTCATGCCTTTTTCAAAGTGTAATTTCTGTAGTATTGTGCATAGCAAGATAGTATCATAACTCCAGTATTAGTGATAATTGTAACGCTAATGTTACAATAATTGTAACAGTTAAGTCTTTTTCAGTATTCTTTCGTCACCTTTGTGTGTTAAGTTCTTTTTTTAAAAGACTTTACGTTTGTGTATGTCTGTGATGTAGCTCTGACTCCTGTAGCTTGCTTTGCGTCTTTGACATGCTCACCGGCCATCCACCTCACCCTTCTCTTCCAGATCCACTTCCTCATGATTCTCTCAGCAAACTGGGCCTACCTTAAGGATGCCAGTCAAATGCATGCCTACCAAGACATCAAAATGAAGGAAGAGCGGGAGCTGCAGGACATCACCTCACGCTCAAAGGAATGCCTCAATTCCTACACATAAGGATATGACACGCTCACACTCACAATGCACACAAACATACACGCAAGTAAAGACACATAGACACTGTGGCCAACCACTGTGGCCCCTTTGGACCAAGACAACTCTCTGCTAAAATAACCTGCCAACTGCTGTGATGCTGTGCAGTACTAACCAGGCTCCTAACAAACTAATGCATCAGTGCTGCTTTCTGCACTAACTCACCAAGAAGTGTTTTGGAACTGCTACTCCACATTTCATTTATTTTATTTTTTACTTTCTATTTTTCTGAAGGAAAATTCTGATATTCATGTAGTGTTTGATTTTCTCTAGCCCTTTGTATAGCCAGTTTTTGCTGGTGAAGCTTGAGACATTGCACTATTCTTATACAACGCATAACGATGACAGTTTGTTTCAGTCTTCTCTCTTTTTTTTGAGCTCTGGTGGCCAGTTTTCAACAAGGGAATGTAAGATTTTATTTGTTTGCTCTTTTTCATTAAAAAAATGCTGATTAATTATAGAAAACATGAAAGGCCTTACATTCAATCTGAGTTAGTGTGCCACTTCTTGATGGCATCAATTTTTAATGTACGTACACTAGACTGTGGCATGTCACATGTTTTTTTGAATTTTCAGTAAGGCAAAAATCCTGTAAACATGGTGGTAAAAGTTCAAGTATTTAACCACATGTTAATCCTAGTGATAATGTAAGTGTTACTATTTGGTTCTACACTCATATAATGATTTGTCATTATAATTTTTATGATACAGCTACTTAAAAGCCACTCAGAACATTCATGGCCTACATTAACACTACCTCAGATGTGCACTAGAGCCTATAGAACAACTTAACTGGAACAAACAACACTTCTCCCATGTAAAAGTACAGTTTGAAAATCCTATTTTAGTTGTAAAAGGATGCCTCAGAGACGCAGTATGTATTATGTTAGCTGCAAAGTAAACCAAGCCAATTAAACCACATTAGGAGCTCCTCTACACCACAGTATCATAGGATTTAAATTGTATGCATAATGCCATAAGAATAACTTGCTTGCTAAATGTGGACTGCTGCCAACAATGAGACAAGGGTATTCAATGCATTTAATATCTTAAAAGTTTGGTCCGTGTGTATTCATTAATGCAAATGAAAAAAACCCTGCCAACACAGAAAGCTCTCTGATCCGTCATACATGCTTTTCAGCCCATTATCTATTGTAATATCTGATCATATATTATATGATCAAAATGTACTTGATTTTGAAACACTCTTATAAAAACATGTGTGACTATGTCCCACGTGCAATTGTACCATGGCAAAACCTACAGATCTAAAGAACTTAAGGTGTAAACTTGTTACAAGTGAAGGTTTTTAGTGTTTTGTTACTTTTGAAGATACACCACTTCATTTTTCTCCTAATTTTCTATAATTGCACCTGTTTTTAATGTGCAATTGTCATAATGCTGACATAATTACTCATGTAATCTTTTATTTCTATTAGTTGAGTTACAGGGATAACTTGATGTTTCTTTGTTGCATGAAGATAACTGTTACTGCAGTGACACGTGATGTACAGTCATGTATACTGACATCAGTAGTAGGCAGTGTTTGCCTGTTTCCTTTTTTTCTAACTGAATACAAATTAATCCATTTTATGTAGCTGATTAGTTATAGGTGTTTATTTAGGTTCTTTCATTCAAGTCAAAAGTATATGAGTCTTGTTTATTATATTATTTTGTTGCCTGATAGTATACCTGTATTTTCTTTGAATGTCAAGGGCTTCCTCGTGAATTACTGATGCTTAACTTTTAATTCAACTTTCAAGTAACAATTAGATGCAACACAAGTCATTTATAAAATTGTACGGCAATCTAAATGGTAAAATCTAGCCAAAGTATGAATGCCATTGTGACTCCCTGCCCAGTGTTTTACACAGTATCTGAGATACTGTAGTGCAAAACCTGCATAAAACCATACAGTGACCGAGGAGAAAGATGACAGATGTACAAGAAGTACATCTCTGTATGCTGTGTTTCCTGTTGAATGAACCAAAAAACTAAAGAATAAAGGCTACCTATCAATCACCACGAGGACAAGAATCCAGCATCCTGTCTGACTGGAAACCCCTTTGACATTTCTCAACTGGCCTGTTGACTGTTTTTATGAAAATAAATAAAATAAGAAACTTCTCTCTGTCGTGTTTTTTCTTTTGTATGGTGGGAAGATCTCTTTTGGAGGTTTACAGTCAATCCAAAAGAAAACAACAAAATGTATTCGTACATTTGCCAAAAAACAAAACAAAAAATTCATATATATACATACTGAAAAATGAAATCTTCACATATAAACAATACATGTTTTGCACTTAAAAACAGAACAAGTTTTTTGTGATTGCTCTCTGGGACAATCAGCTCACCAGAAATCATCATCTTCATCCTTGTGTGAGTATGCTGCAATGCTGGGAAAACAAAATTAGTTAATTAGTGGAAGCCACAAGGGACAAAACAGCTAAACCAAAAATAGTAAACTATTTCTGAATGAACTCATCCTTGAGACAACATAATTCCAGAACAAATAACATCATTAAAAAGAGCAGGAGATGAGAAACCATGGAAGAAATTAAATGTTTTTGGAAGGGGATTATGTAGGCTTATATATTTATTAAACTTTCCTACAGTAACAATGTTTGAATTAGAAGAGACTTATGTTGTTTTATGCATAAGTAAAGTCGACTGTCAATTAGTTACCTTTCGTCTTTCTCCTCAGACAAACTCTTGGCCTCTGGGCTCATATGTGCTGCTTCTTCTCTTCCAGGGCTCTGAAAAAAAAAAAAAAAAAAACACAAATACAAGGCAAGTCAAGTCCCAAAATCAAAGTTCTACAGCAGTCTCAGACACATGTGCATGCAACTCACCTGTGTATGCTGCTTCTCTCTTGCCTCCAGGACCATCTTCATGTATTTCTCCAATGGATTTTCACCTTTAGACTCCTCCCCGTCATTATCTGCCTCTTGATTCTGCTCTTCATCTCCTCCTTTCTCAGTTTCCGTTTCTCCTCTCTTCTCCTGGCGGTTGCTCCACCTCTTGCAAAACCTTATTAGACATATGTTGTCAATATTCATTTCATTGGGATGCCTTTTCTTGGTAGAGATAAAGATCAAAAAGAGGAGTTTTGGAGGAACTTGGTGAAAGATAATCATTACCATCTCTTTCTCCAGTCTTTCAAGTTCTTGCAACTCCCGTTCTCTGGCTTCCTCTTGTTCCCTTTGCCTTCGTTCTAATCTTTCTTTCCGCTCTCTTTCCCACCTCTGCTCCTCATCTTCTTCATCTTCTTCATCTTCTTCATCTTCTTCCCTAGCAGATTCACCTGAAGTGTGTGGAACTTCTATAAAACATATGGATTGACGAGTCAAATCAGTTGTCAGTCCATGGCTACAATATGACATATTCATATAGTCAGACTGATGGTGTACGGTGGCCATTGTGGATTGGGGTCAATCGAGAATACGCGTCAGTAATGGGTGGTGGACTAACAACTCACCCGCCTGGCCCTGCGAGTCTACTGGGTCTTCTGGGAGGTCCGGTGGGCGGGGGACAGCGGGTCCGTCAGGGGCCTCCTCGGAGAGAGGGACGGCAGTGTCCAGGAGAAGCTCTGGAATGTGGCCGGGCTCTGGAGGGAGACACGCACAAAGAGATCTTTTATGTTCCACCATAATGCAACAGGGCCAGAGGACCGGCACAGAATACATAATCAGCTGCCCTTCATCTTCACCATTGTGCGGGGCCACTGAAAGGACACTTTGGAGGCCAGTCACACACTCATTAAAAAACTGCCTTTCCAAAATCCCAAACCTCCGTACCGGATATACTCCATTTTGTTCCTGGGATTTTGTTGAAAATAATGGTAATTAAAAAAACGGAAAAACTTTGTATGGACAGGTGAAGCACACAAATAGATCACTTTGGCACTTTTGCACCAGTGACTCAATGCAATGTAAAATAAGCAAATATCTAATGTATAGCTGTTCATCCCAGGATACAGTGAAAGCTTTAGGCACAGGACAACCTCCAAACTGTGTGAGTCCACTCACTTGTCATCTGCTCCATGTCTTCCAAACATTAAAAACAACATAAAACAGAACTGTACAGAGTACTTTACAGTATATGCCAACAGATTAAAAAGTTCCCTGTTGATCACAATTGTGCATTTACAAGTCAGGCGCGATGACACCAAACAGCACTTCCACTGTACAGTAGAAATCACACTCCCATGTTGTATTTGCAAACTGGAGAACGAGAATAAGGGTGCAGTGCCTCAAAGAAAAAGAAATACCAACAAATACTAGTTTAGGGTACCTGACAAAATCCCTGTGAGATCTTCAAGGCTTATTTTCTCAGGCTCTGGGGAAGACTCCAAGCTGGACAGCACAGGCTGTAACTTTAGTGGACTGAGAAAAATGAGGGGCAAACATGAAGGGCATTAGTATTCACAATCTTTATCCGAATGTATAAAAAAAAAAAAAAAATAAATGATGTCATGTCCTTGGCAAAGCGATGCCAGATGGTACCTGGACTGGTCTCGTGCTGTGCTCTTGAGCTGAGGACTCTGAGGTGGACTGAGTTCTGGGGAGAAGTCACCTGTGGACGCCACCTCTTTGTGGGGGGCACGAGGGAGCTGTCCGTCAGACAACATCTCCATAAACGGCACCGGAGACACAACTGCTTCTATCAGGGGACACAGACTTGATGTTAGGTGATAATGTTATAAGGAGCTCGGTCTAGACCTGCTCTATTTGAAAAGTGTCCTGAGATAACTTCTGTTATGAATTGGCGCTATACAAATAAAATGGAATTGAATTGAACCTCAGGGAAGAAATATTATAACGCAAAAACTGAGGTGAAAAGGTGTGCTGATTGTTTTCATGTTGTGGAACTTTAATCAAATAAATCCAGTAAGTGTTAAATGTGCCGTTTATAAGTTCTGATAACATTAAACTTTCCACTACCAATAGATCCTGCTAAATGCATTTTTGGAGGTACCTTCTGAAATCTCTCTTTGAAGCTTTTTCCTGGAGGAAGAGTGTGGTGTGGAGGATAGACGTCTGGGTGGGGGGCTGCTTCCACCCTGAGGTTGTCCATCTCGTAGAAACAGAGATTCAGTAAATGAATGGAGACTGTGGTCAGTGAAAGCTGTGGACTGTGGTTGGTTATGGTCATCTGAGAAAGTCACTCTCAGTTGTGCAGGCGGTACAGTGTTTCTAGTGTCATAGGGTGCCAAGGAGGGGGTTCTGGTTTGTGGAGACAGTGGTCTGTGGGAGACCTTTGATTTGTGGGGTGAGTGGGTGTGTGAATGGTGAGATATTTGTTTTCTTTGAGGAGAGTCAGGGCGATGTGAAGGATGTGCTCTGGGGGGAAGCATGTGTGAAACGGTGGCGCGCACTGCCCTCTGCTGGTAGTTCCTGTAGGCTTCCTCCAAAGTCTCTGCCTCCTTCTGCAGCTCCTGGATCCGAGCCTTGGCTTCAGCCACCATCTCCATGTCAGAGTCTGGAGAGTCACTCCAAGGCGCCTTGTGTCCTCGTGAGGGCCCACCTGCTTCACAAACATCATCATAACCCACCCTGGCCCTTAGCAGAGCTCTGTCCACATAGATGTCAGGGGGAACCAGCTTGTCAGTGCTGAGCTCCAGTACTGAGCGATCAACAAGAGAGGGCTTGGGGTTACGTAGCACTTCATTTTCAAGAGCTGCCATCATCGCATGGATTACACAAAAAAAAAGGGAGAGAGGAGAGAAAGGGAAAAGCAAACAAGAGGAGAGTTGAACACTAATACAGAAGACCAACCACCAAGAGAGCACAAATAAGAAAAAAAATGCTCGCTACAACCAATTTCAAAACACATAACATCCAACTCTTTACATGCATTTACACCTAGGATCTGGTATACTATAAACTACTATAAAATGGCTACCTTTCTTGTTTGCATTTGATATTGTAAAGATTTGGTCAATAGAATAACATGATCCAAGAAAGGAAGCCAGTTTATGAAAAGCAGAAATAAACTAAACCACACAAGTTATGCATTACTGATTGTAACAAACATAACTGCATACAGAATCCTACATGATTCAAAGTACTAATCACACAAAGACATGGCAGACATGCATGCCCAGTTGTGGGGTACCTTGTTGAGTTTGGCGAAGCTGCATCTTGATGTCCTCAATGTGGTTATTCATCCACTGTGACTTCTCCTCACACTCTATCAACTGAGCGTTGAGCTGAGCACCTCGCTCCACCTGCAGGAAACAGCAGACAACAGGACATAACACGAGAAGTTATTGTACGGCCCACCGGAAAGCCAGATTTAAGGACAAACGACAATAACACAAAAAAATCCCCAAAGTGAGACAAATCCGTATGAAAAAAGCTGACCACATAGTTTCCCACACTCAGCCAGAGGCTGTGATGGGACTGACCTCACTCTGGAGCTGTGCCTGCAGCACCTGTTTGTGGTTGTCAAACTCTTCCTCATCCAGCCTACGAGCATTCTGCAGCTTCCGTAGCTCCATCTGCAGGGCCAGCTGCTCTTTGGACGGCTTGCCCAAATCTGAGAGAGGGGTTATCATAGTCAGATCATAATCTAGAAGTGCATTGTTCCTGCCAGTCCAGTGTATATTTCAGTGGGAAAGCTACCTGGTGAAATATTATCTGGTGACACACAGTTGTTTTAAGTTAGGGTGTCATTTTAAATCATTCTCCAGTTAATTTTTTGGGCTATATGGATCTGAACAGCATGAGAGTACAGCACACCAAGCTTAGCAGCACCATGTTGCTGCCTTTTGTTAGTGATGAGCAGAGAGGCAGACTGCTCCCCTGCCCTATCCTCAAACAGGAAGAATACTGTATCTCAGAGAGAGGTAAAAATTTGGGTTCTCAGGCGTCGGTAAAGGGAGCCCTCTGTTTCTGCTAACCCTTCACTCCATTTCTCATCCCCTCATTCCCTCACTGGTTCCTTTTTAGAGAGTTGTCTGCAGAGCTACAAACACAGCACAGAGGCCCCACATTAGCAGGCAAGACACATTCAAAAAGACTCAGCGGAGCCAGAAGCAGTGGGACAGACTAACATGAATGCTTCACAGTACACTGCATCTCCCACAGCTCACAATGAGCCCAGACTCCAGCACTATGAATGCATCATAGGAACAAGCTTTATCTCAGTCATAAAAACAGACTGCAATATTCTGAGGTACTGGTTTTCTAGGTTTAGATATTATGAGCAAAAATAAGAAACCAGTTGTGCATTATTACAGACAGAAAACCCTGTTTCTATTATTCCCTCATTGTAAACTTAATAGGAAAATTGCAGCTAGTCCTAACCAGCATGGAGAAGCTGGTTCTCCTCTTGGGCTTCCTCCAGCTGTGTCTTTAGCAGCCGCAGCTTCCCCTGTAGCTCTGCTTTCTCTCTTTTCAAGCTGGGGTAGTCACTCACGCTCTCCAGTCTTTCTCTCAACAGCTCCTTCTGCTGAGTCAGCAGAGAAATCTGCTGCTGTGCTGTGTCTAGCTCAACCTGGGAAACAAAAGAGACAGAAAAAGAGCAGAACATAAAACTGGAGACTCAATCAATTACATTATGAAAGATATGAATATAACATAATCACACTGACTGATGTTTTGTCTCAATATTATACAAGTGCTTAGTTATTAAGTAGGACTGAAATATTGTGAAGATGGTGAAGTTAACACTGCTGTATGACTGGATGGGTTGTGTTGTTTACCTGCAGCCGCCTCAGCTCTGAACATGCTCTGCTGTGCTCCTCTAATTTGCCATTAATCACTGCTGACTCCTTCTGGATACGAGCAGTTTCCACTGAGAAATAAAAAAAAGAATATAAACACAATCAAAACACAGGAAATAACAAATCTGTCTGTCTAACCTCAAACTAATCTATATACTCACTTTTGTTTCTGTTCTCATTCTCAGTGAGATTTTCTGTTCTCCTGATAAATTCCTCCTTCAACTCAAGCTGATACCTAATTTTAAAGACATAAGAACAACAATCAAAAAAATCAACACAGAAAATCTTAACAATACCTACATCCTTTCCTATCTGAAAAGGGTCCATCTAAAGACTTAATTACTTACTTAAAATATTGCTTTATCATTTGGCTAAGTGGATGTTCAGGTCCCCTATTGTATGTCATACGTCATAGTTTTGATGTAATAACAAATGATTGGCATTATACAGATATTCACTTCTTGGACTTTGGGGTCTAAAGGATACCCAATGTCTACTTATTTACTGACAATCATTCCCCAAGAATTCACCCTGAGACTCACAAACAGCACACAAAAACTTTTAGCTGCAGAATGGAATAAATCCCTGATGGAAGATTTGGAGAGACTGACAATATCCCCCGGAGAAAGATAAATATTTAACCTAAGACGTAAAGTGAACTAACAGAATGGAGAAAATATATTAAATGAGACTGCATGTGTGTAAACAACTGCATATGTCTACCTGGTGGTGACAATGTGAACCAAAAAACCATCTGTTAAAATACCTAGAAAGTTCATTCTTCAGCCTTTGGTCGTACGTGTCCTCCATAGTCTTCACTGCCAGTTCTCTCCTCCTCAGCAGGTCTTCCATTGTCTTGACTTTCTCCTCATGTATTTGACAAGTCCTATCATCATACAAACACAGTGAGGTTCTCTATGAAGCAGTGGTCACAATGAGACAGCATAGCACCTACTACTTTACATGAATGAAAAAAAAAAAAAAGCTCTTACTTTTCAAAAGCCTCCATTCTCATCCGTAGCTCATTTTCTCTGTTCCGCAGTGTTTCAATTTCTTTCAGGACTGATTGTCTCTGCATATACAAATTTTTTTCTTCAATCTAAAGAAAAAGAGAAATACAAATAACAGCATCAATAATACAGTTTTAGATTTAAGCAAATTGAAATTAAACCATTGAATACTGTGATGTTGAGATCCTGTCATTATGTAAAAAAAAAAAAAAATATATATATATATATATATATATATATATATATATATATATATATATATATATATATATATATATATATATATATAATTATCTGAGGTTATCTTGAAAGTAAAAACCATTACAACATAATAATATAAGTCGTAATCTACCTCTTGTTGTTTTTGTAACCGATCAATGGCATTTTTCTCCCGGTCCATCAGCGCCTTTGCCTTCATTTCATAAGTCCTCTCCAGCTCGTGCTTGAGCTTATCAAATTCTTTGTGAAATTTTGCTTGTTCTTCCATCCTCACCTTGGCAATTTCAACATCTTTAAAATGTTGCATCTTAAGAAACAAAAGACACAATGTTGAGGCCACGTGACCAGAAGGAAAACTCTACATGATCACATATTAGCCACACATAAAAACATAAAGCCATCATACCTTTTAAAATGTTTATTGCAGACGAGAATGCAGCTGAGCTTCATATCGTTTTTTAATTCATTCACTTTGTAGGAAAATATATGTACCTTTGTGTTCATTTCTTCTTGCATCTGTGCCTCCATTTCTTTCCTATAGGCAGCCAGTTTTGATTGGAATGAAAACCATTTGTCCCCACTGTAAGTGAAGCTCTCATATTCCTTATCAATCAGTTTCATCTTCTCAACTGTGTATGAAAGAAAGGAAACGTTACATACAGTGCAATGAAAGGCATGTGAGTGGAATACAGTTTAAAGACTTTACTTCATCTTACCAAGAGACTCTCCATAACTTGCTATGCTGGTTGTCTGAGTGTCAGCATCCTGGCGCAGCGCCTGAGTGTAGTGGGGTGTCATCTGTTTTAGAAGGGTGACCAGGAACCCTACTAGGCAAAGAAGAACCATATAAAGCACCGACGCGGCAGAAACAGTTGTATTCAATGTAACTGAATGCTGCACATACCTTTGTCATCTTTGTTTGAAGACTGTAAAAAAAAAAAAAAAAAACGATAACACGATTATTACCCACAAGATTTATTTCTTATTTCAAGAACAATATTCTACAAGCTGAATCTTATTTTTAATTACCAGGGATCTGAAAAGGGCTGATTCTGGACTTATTCTAAGAAGCTGAAGAAGCTCTCCTTTCGTGGAAACCTGCCGAAATGGACGAGAGACCAAACTCTTCATCTGCAATGATGTTCTTAAGCTACAGTACATTAAACAAGTGAGGTATATGCTCACCTTGTCTTTGCATAGGCCACTTTCAGGGTAGAATACAGACAGGGTGTACTCATATCCAGAGGTGCGGAGATGATCAGCCACTATGCTGTTACAGGCTGAGACTAAAAGGGGTTCAGATTTCACAGGTACTGGTCTGGGAACTGGTTCTCCTCCAGTCAAAGGTGGGTGCTTTAACTCCTGGATGAGCTGATTCCGCAGCTGTGTCTGAGTCAGATCAGAAGAGTCACAGAAAACAAGAAAAACTTCAGACCAAACTCCTTCCAACATATATGTTCAGTTACTTTAGACTTTGGCTACAAGACAACGTTAGTGAGTATAACTTACTTTGAGTGTATCGAGAACTCCTTTATTTTTAAAAGTCTGATAGAGTCTCTTCCTCAGCTCATCTGGGGATAACGTGTCTTCCTTGGCCGAGGACATAACTGCGTTGTTTTGTTACATCCTGACAGAAAGGAAACAAAAGTAGACACCAGCACGGTAAAGCTAACATGGCGAGCTAGAAAACAAAAGAGTTTTCTACAACTTTTAAAGTATTCTTACCCGGTGTTAGCCTGTTATCACCATGTCTCCTAAACACCGAATAACACACATATCTCACAAAAAGAGAGTTATTTCTATAGTTACCAACCTAGCAACCAACGACCAGTGAGCGTCTCTGCGTCGCTCTCGAGGAGGCGTGACTGTATTTAAACCCGTCAACGGAAATTCTTCTCCCGGAGAGGCGCACAGTTATGACGTAGCGGCAAATTAATATTATTACTATTATTATTATTATTACATAATATATCGTATTTTTAAAGAAACGATAATTAATATGAAGCTGAGCTAAAAACTAAGCCGCTGAACCGTTTTATATATAACTGAGCAATACGTTTGGCTATTCGGTCATGTCGTCATCTTCTTGCGACTGCCATCGTATCTCTCCAGGAAGCGACATTAACAGGTAAACAAAAGTCGGTCGTATCAAAGTAATGCGATTTGTGCTTACGTGGGATTCTTGTAATGTTTCTACTTAGAATATGTTTCCTTTCAGTCTCACACGAATCAGTTGACTGAAGACTTAAATGACACCGAGCGTCTGTGGCTAACGTTAGCTTGCTATGCTAAAGGTTCACACTCATTTGGTTTATATTGACACACATTGTTTGGTAGATTCAGTTTTTCACGCTGTTTCGTTTGGTTTGAATTGTTTTCAGGACACTTTGGCTTTGCCAAGAGGAAGAGAAACGATGTCTGGAAGTTTTTATTTTGTCATGGTTGGCCATCAGGACAATCCTGTGTTTGAGATGGAGTTCTTACCGTCTGGGAAGCCTGAATCAAAGGTAACACCAAGACTTTATGAACACCTGGTTATTGACAACAGAATAATGTCTGTAATAATGTCTACACTGTCTGTAATGGAAGTAGTACACTGCCTTCACAGTTATTTATAGGAAGTGATTATGCCTGTTAATGTGTTATGTTGTTTGTTTCCTGTTTGTTTTGATCACAGGATGACCATCGTCACCTGAACCAATTCATCGCACACGCAGCTCTGGATTTGGTGGATGAAAACATGTGGCTGTCCAACAATATGTACTTGAAAACTGTGGACAAGTTCAACGAGTGGTTTGTGTCTGCCTTTGTCACTGCAGGACATATCCTTTCTTCTATACTGTTTGATTCTTACTTTTATATTCCCTCGCAGAATACTTTACTTTAAAAACAAAGTAGCATAGTGTATGTTTTATTTTATGTTTTATTAATTGCAATACTGACAGAGGAGACTCAAAAAATAGTCTACATGGCTAGTATAACATATTTAATTAATCTAAAACTAATTTTAGAGGTATACATCTGTTATTTGGGCATCATAATACAATAACAGAAACAAGTAGTCGACAGTTTTGGTTCAGCGTAGTCATTCATCAAGCAAAACGGCCAAATATTCATTCACCCAGCTTCTTAAATATGAAGGTTTGTTGCTTTTCTCTTTTTTATATCATTATTGAATATCTTTGAGTTTTGGACTGTTGGTTAAACAAGTTGTTTTATAGAATTAATAGAAAAATGAATCAGCAGCGCAGTTGATATTGAAAATAATTGTTAGCTGTAGCCCTACTGTTATTACCTAACATTTTAGTTTGCAGTATAGTGTGATTATTGTTTTAGAAGTCAGTCACATGGTTGTTTTTCTGTATAGTCATATTCAAAGAATTTATTGCCATGGCTTTTTCTTTAATTATTTGCTGTACATATAAGATTCATCATGCTGCATGATGTGCGTCAAGAAGACGGAATCAAAAACTTTTTTAACGATGTATATGATTTATACATTAAGGTAAGTTCTCTTCCATATGATTAGGATAACTTGATTACGTTTTTTCTTTCCTTCAGTGTTTGATTTAATAATTTATTCTGTCTTCCAGTTTGCAATGAATCCATTCTACGAGATCAACGCACCAATCCGTTCTACAGCTTTTGAGAGGAAAGTACAGTTTCTTGGAAAGAAGCATCTCCTGAGTTAATCACGACACCTGCAAAATATGAATGCATCTTGTCTATTCGTTGTACATATATCTAACATGCTTGTTTGATGTCTGTTTGTCTTTTCCTGTTCAACACATGTAAACTGTATTCAACACAGATTTTCTATAAAACATTTTATTGTCTGATGTAATTTTAAAGGTGATGTCTGTTTCTTGCAGGGAGAGGGTTGTGGGTATAGTTATTGTTGATATATGTTGATTATAAACATTAGACATAATTTAACTTATTCCAAAAGTGCTGGTGAGATAATAATAATTAAAAAAACATTTAAATTAATAGACACAATCTTGTTCCCTAACATGGTGACGTACTTTGTTATCAACTGACTTAGGCATCATAACATTGCAGTGGTTAGAAAGCACAGCAGTTCAGTTCAAACCTTAGGATAATATGTTTTCAGCCTATAAAAACAAGCCAAGAGACCATTCTCAGGGGTTTTATTTATCGTTTGGCATACCAGTAGTACAACTTTGAATATAAATGAAATCTGAATGAGAAACAGTTAAGGTAAATGGTTCACCATTTCAAATATTAAGCTGTGGGGACTTTCCAAGTATAAAAAAATGTTAATAGAGTGCTTTAAAGATCAAAATCATCTAAAACAATAAAACCAATAATTAAAAAAAAAAAAAAAAAGTTGATTCAATCATGGCTGCTATATCATTACACCTCAAGGAAATATCGATTCAGTGATTTATAAGGTAAAAACAGTTTAAAAAATACAAACGTTTCCAGAAACTTAAATACACCATATGCCATGCATGTTATCTTTGCTTTAATATTTATCTTCTGTTAGGGATATTGTACCCCAGTGCTTCCAGCACGTAGCCATAATCTATTCACAATGCAGAATGTGCACAAACAAGAACTAAAGGTGCAATAATCACAACAAGCCTCAAGTTGTTAGTTACGCAAAGTAGTGCCACAGCTACTTCATAATTCTCAGAAATAAGGTTATTGGGCTGTATAAATTAATTAATTATGCAGTTATCTTGTGAATAAAAACATATAGGCCATCACTGCATTATTACATTAGGGAGTGAAGTTCAGAAACCCTTTGATAATCACACTCCAAGGTAGTACACATCTACACACATATGTTAAGAGTCACAGAATGAAACATTTATCCATTTGAGAGGAAATTTAACTTTTCAACTTGCTGCTTCTGTTCTATTAGCACATATTTTTAGTTACTCACAGGTGGTCCTTTACCAACACAATACAGTTTCTCTGTCTGTTGCCCACCAGAGCCTTTTGAACAATGGCAGACTGACTGAGAGATTTGGTTATTTCATGTTTATTTGTAATTAGACGGGGGTCAATTTAGTGTTTCCTATCTTTCTCTTCAAACAGAAGTCCAGCTATTAGCATGATCAAGCCTTCAACAGTATGACAAATCATAAAGCGAGTAGCCTCATTTGTTTAAATAAGATGTCAATACAGCAGTGTGCACCTACAGCCTCATCACATGACAGGCATAACAGCAAATGAATGTTAGTGATAACTCCTGGATGTTATGAACAGCAAGTGGCAGCAGAGCGAGGCTTTCTGTGGAGCTTGACTGTGTCTGTGGGGATGAGGTGGTCCGTTCTTTCATCCAATGCCAACACTCTGCGCACTGCCTCCTCAAAGGCCACCGCTACATTGGTGGCATCCTTGGCACTGGTCTCATAATAGGGGAAGTCGCCGTTCTCCTGGCACCATTGCCGAGCCTCCTCAGCTGACACCTGCCTCTCCGTCACGTCCAGTTTGTTGCCCAAGACTACGAACGGGAACTTCTCTGGCTCCTTGACATCTGCGTAGTAGATGAACTCCTTCTTCCAGTTGCCCAAGTTGAGAAAACTCTGGCTGTCGTCTACACTGAAGGTGAGCAAGCAGCAGTCAGAGCCACGATAGAAAGGAGTCCTCAGGCTGCGGAAGCGCTCCTGGCCAGCAGTGTCCCAGATCTGTAGGGTAACCTGGTGGCCATCTACCTCCAGTTCCTTGTTGAGGAACTCCACGCCAATGGTGTGGAAAAGGTGTGCGTCGAACTTGTTGGTGACATAACGATTCATGAGGGAGCTTTTTCCTACACCACCATCACCCAGCAGAATCACTTTCAGTAGGGATGTCTTTGTTGTCATGGCTATTCACTCCCGTTCGACCACTTTATAATTGAGAATTTACCTATTGAAGAGATGAAATGTGCAAAATATATTATTATTGTCTGTACAGCACCATAATCAGTTTGAAAGCCAGTATTGTAACGAAGAACCAGTTCACATTTAACAGCAGAGACAACTTATTGTTGGATGTTTTGTTTCTGTCTCACCCCTGGTTGATTTTGGCCTCCTCCACTTGTCCAGATCATGTGCTGTAGACCCTGGGCCGTGGTCACATGCTCATATGTTTAATGTTGATGTGAGCAGCCATGTAGGTAACGTTCAACCAACTGTAACATAATGACATGCAATCAATTTCCTGATAAACATTTGACAGCAGTTATTGTGGAGAAACCCCATTACAGTAAAGCATATTCTGCGACCATATGTTCAATACACTGTGCTTAAGCTAACAATCTATAAAGATATAGCTTGTAAAACATAACGTGCACAATATTTAAACGAATAGCTGTAACATGCAAGCAGAGACAGTCTGAATTGTGGGTTATCAGCTAGCTAAAGTGAGCTAACATGAAAAAGAAAAACAAGGGAGCACAGCTGGAGTTAGGTTAATGAAACACACTCAATTCGCTAGCTCAGGTTTACTTACAGCCACGATTGCTAGTAACCTACCTTACACTTTTAGACCAGGCCGCTGCGGAATGAACGAGGAATAAAAACACGAAATAAGTGGTGTGATATTGTGTCTGACAGCTCCTCGGCTCTTTGGACTGGCTCGAGATAACGTCAGGTCACACCGTTTCCTGGTCAACTCCAAAGGCTCGGCGCTAACGCAGCTAGCTGCTAACGAGCTAACGATACATGGACAGACTCGGATCATGTGATGTCACCAGACAGCAGCCAGCGAGCGACGAGGTACCGTCTCAGACCCTTACAATTATATATTACTTATAAATACAATATTATACAGACTGTAGATTATACGAGTCTTATTGCAAAAAAAAAAAAAAAATAACCCCTTTTAATAATTACTTTTAAACCCAGGGAGAGTTGTATTGGTCGACTTGTATAGAGATATTTATTTGTATTGTTCCTGCACGGCCACCAGAGAGAGACATTTAGCTGTTATCTGCTAGTTTGACCTAGCATCCCAAACTGCATAAAATCCACTCAACACCGAAAAAACTCTGGATGCTACTTGTTGCATTGTGACCAGATTTGTCCTGAGATGTCTAGTTAACAATACCAAAATGTACAAATACTCAAAACGTTATAAAAAAAAGTAAGTAGCTCCGTTTTTTAAAAATGTTTTTTGTCATTGTTTCAGTAGCTGTCTCATAGGTTGTTAGACAAAACAGTTCTCTCTTTCCCCTTTCTTGATATTAGATATCTATATTAACATGAAAGCATACTTTCTCATTCAAGTTGGGTGTTATTGACTACCACAACTATTTTCTGTAATAAAATACCAGCTCAGGCATTCATAAAATGCATGGTTCATTTGTGGTTGCATGTCTTAAGTCAGCAAATTGAATTCCCTAAAATTATCCCCATGCTTTCTCATATTACCTTGGATTTTTTTCCGCCTTGTAATACTATCTTAGGATGCTGCCACATTCCCTCCCATTATCACAGTCTGTGTGATTTCTGTTTGTAGAAAGCAAGATTATAGGCACCCAGGTATACAATCATACAATATGTGGGCATAAAAAAAATGTTAGATAGAGTTAGAAAAAAAAAACAGATTTAATGCAGTAGTACAGTATAATATGAAAGCACAATGTACAGCAGATATGCACCGATAATTTTTATCATTTAAACTAACCAGCCTTCAAATAAAGATATTCATGTAAGATTGAATTTCTGATATAATTCACCTAAGAATTCACATTACATGTCATTGATTATTTTCAATTAACTTCAGCAATATCACATACACAACAAATGACTAAGCACAATACTGTTAAACCTAACTAACAGGCAAAGTTAACATTTCCACGTATTCCTGAGATCTGAGTTATCTGTAGCGTATCACGATAAAGAGAATGTAGCAGGATGTATTGACGTAGCAGCATGGTGATAAAATGAACATGCTTGCACTGGCTGTACGTAAACTTCCTTTGAGATCATTGTGTCTGGATGTCCTGAGGCTTACCCAAATTTTGAATCACCATAATACGGACAGGAAACAGGAATCTTTGACATGTGTCAGTTAGAGCAAATTTTCAAATTGTAAATCTGCCGTGGAGATTCTTAAAAGATGGGGCTGACATCCTCTTGACAGGGCCCTGAGGTCAGCACAACATTGTCTAGCCCAATCTCTCCTCCAACACCTTTCCCACGCTGAGCTTCGAAGACAATCTGAAAGAGAGTCAGTGCTACCATTTCAGACTGTGAACCAAATTAATTTAACATTTTGGACACTAAAATAGTCACATAAGCACTACATAAACTTATAATGCAACAAGTGCTGTTTAACCTCCTGGTATTACAGGTATTAATATTTTTTGCAGTTTGTCTGATAGTTGACAACCATCTATCCATACGATGTCTTATAAAACGAGAAAATGACTCACAGATTCTGGTGCCTCCTCTTTCCAGGCCACAGTGAGGAGCTCCGTCTGCCAGCCCTGGTCTCTGCTTCGGCTCTGCTCCCATACAGGGTAAGCATTGTTATCCAGCAGCACCCTGAGGGTTCCCACATTTGGGCCCACCACACGGTAGTCAAAGGTGAGGCAGAAGCTGCCCTGCTGGGCCCGGTCACTGAGGAGCAACTTCAGCTTGGCTATATCCTCCTGCTCCCCTATGAGTCCACTCATGGCCATGTAGTATGCAGCACCTGGACGAGTTTATAGCACTTATAAGTGAATGCATGAACCTTGTAAAACCCTGTAAAAAATATATATTAATAGTTCTGTTACCATCGTTGTGGTAGGCTACGCTCCAGTCTATGTCATCAGCCTTGTCTTGGACCCACTCGCAAGCCCCCTGATCAAAGTTGCAATCCATGATAAACTCTAGAAGGTAA